GAATCGGAAAAAAAACCCAACAACAATAACAATAATAATAATAGCAATAGCAGCAGCAGTAGCTGCAGTAGCAGCTTTAATACATAGAATTCTGTGTTGAGATGCTGATAAGCGTAGACCGTTTAGGGAGATGGTTGAAGGGAAAAGGTCATAACCAGTCTCGAGGGTCTATTATATTATTCAACCCGAATTATCAGTTATTTCTTTTTACTTTTTTTTTTTTGGTAGGGGGGGGGGCTTTTTGATTACTGTGTTTTCACGTGTCTTTGGGTGGAGGGTATTATGATCAAGTTATCAACTAGGAGTCAATGATCTGGACACATTACCCCGGGGAATTGACGTTTGTTTCTCAGTGGTGCTAGGGTAGGGTGGCGGGGCGTGGAGGGAGTACACATGTAAAAATGAACACGTCTCATGTTCGAAAAACAATTCGGTAAATTCTTGACTTCTGGACGCCTCCTGTAGCGTATTGGCTAGCAAAAACATATCGAAACCCAATTCGTTAGTATAGAGCAGTGTTTCTTAACCTTTTTTTTTTTTTAATTCAGGGCTCACTTGTAGAAAAACTAAAAATCAAGGTTCACACTTCAAATTTTAATAGGAAAAAATAGTCATGAAACTTGAAAATAGGAAAATAAAGAATTCTCCTGAAATAGGCATTTATTTTTAAGACAATACATTGTATATTTCATATTTGATTTGATTTGGCAAAGAAGAAAATTACCTTTAAGGGTTGTCATGTTTGGTTTAGCATCCCCCAAAAAGATTAACGATAGTTTTTATTTAAAGAGCTTTATAAAGAATCTGCATTTTTTTTAAAGAGGCCGATAATTACTGATTTAAATCTATATAGGAAGTCACAAGGGACAGGATTATCCACTCCTTCTTAAAGATTAAGGAATTCAGCATACAGTTTAAATGGCAAAGACTTGACTTAGACATGGCTTGTGTGTCTCTAGCTTTTTAAAAATAAAGATTTTTAAAATATAAAAATAATTCATAAATTGTTGTAATGGAATGTCCCGCACCGTAAACTGACATCTGACTGCTCAGATGCCATTTTACCTGGAATGACACAATACAGTTATTAATGAGATGAGTTGAAATTAATGCAGGCAAACAAAGATGTAGCTCAAGTATATGAACAAAATTTGGCATCATGGTGTTATCAATTACCTGCAGAAAAACCCAGGTCATTCATGCTAACATGGTTGTTATATTAGGGGTGACGCTCCAGCCTCATCAACAGTGCAAAAGTGGACAGCTGAATCTAGGAGAGGAAGAGAGAGTCTTGAATATGACCCCAAATCAGAACGTGCTACAAATGTCACAATCGCGGTAAATATTAATAGTGTCCAATGCTATTTGCATATCCCGTGAGAGAGTTGAGAATCTTCTGCACAATGAACTTGGAATGACGCAGAATTTTGCTCGGTGGGTGCCACGTCTTCTGACACCTATTCAAAAGCGCACCAGACTGATCACATCACGGGAAATCTGACATTGTTTGATGCAGGTTCAGTTTGTTTCTTGAACGTTTCCTAACTCAGGATCAGTGCTGGGTTCACCACTTTCAGCTAGAGACAAAGAGACAATCCATGCAGTGGAAACACTCTGTTGTGGATTCCGAGATGAATTCGGTCTCCAAGGAATGACAAACGCAATAATTAAATATAAGAAATAAAATGTATTTACGCAATCATACAAAGAGTAATACTGTTAGTAAGTCCAGGAACGCGGTTAGCAGCAAATACAGATAGATATATACAGTCTCGAAGTAGGACTTCCTTAGAGTCTACGTGCTTGTAACTGACTTCTACAAGAAGTTACCTCACACTATCTCCGTTCGTATATTCTCTCTCTCTCTCCGTATATCTTCTCTCACTGACTGTCTAACTCTGAGTATTTAACGGCAGCACTCCAAGTAACACTGGTAGAGTCCACTTATATGAAAAGGAGAGGGCCCCATAATACACTCCTTCCCACCTGCTCCAAAGAAAACCAAGATCATTTCATTTACAGGGAAGGTGATTGCCTCAGTCTTTTGGGATGTAAAAGTTATTGTGTTTATTGACTATCTTCAAAAGGTCCATGCCTTCAATAGGAAGTACTATGCTAATTTGCTGAGGCAGTTACAAAAGTCTATCAAACTAAACATCCAGGAAAACTGATGAAAGGAGTCTTGTTTAATCAGGACATTGCTTCAGCGCACAAGTTTCAATGCGTTGGGTGACTGTGACTTTGAACTGGTTGATCACTCTCCCTATTCTCCTGATTTGGCCCCATCTGACTATCATCTGTTCCCCAACATAAAAAAATACACTTAGCTGGGAACGTCATATCTGCTGATGATGAATTTTTTGACCATAGGATGAAAACATTTTCGCCAATGGTATCCAGGCACTGCAAAACTGGAAGAAATGTATGAACCTGAAAATAAACCTCATTTGGTCACATTTCATGGGAGTATCTTGGTCAGCTTATGAACTTTTCAGCTGATCACCGTATTGTAGTGTGAACGCTATAAAGTAAGTTGCGAAAAACAGAGTAGGTTTAATTCTCGTTAGATGACTCACTATTGTAACCTTGTACCAAACTAAGCTTAGTTTTAGATTGAATAAAAGACCGTTCGTTCCGTGGTTAGTTTTAAATGCGGTTAAAAGCATTTGGTTTTAAGATTTTTTAATGCCGTATCCGTTTCAGGTTTTATGCCTTAGAGGTTCTCCTCAAATTTCTTTTTTTTTTAATATATGTGAATTACCATGACATCCTGAGAAAGATCATGGACTGGTTTCCTGTTGTCTTCTCCGCTTTTTGGAATTCAGATCAGTAATCTCCTAGACTGACTGTCACACTAGGCTCATAGCTGAAGAAAGGAGAGACACATTTATGCCATTTTCCAAACTTTGTACTCGTCTCACCGATTCCATTTTACACGCCGATAACCGTTACGTTATACGCGTATCTTTGCTTTAAGTCTTCTTTTATGTGTTGTGTCCCTTCAAGACATGGGCGATCATGACTCTCCACAACTTTCTACCCTTTGTAGCTCTAGGCAATATTTGTCACTTTATTATCCCTCCCAGTTCCTGTTTTAGGATCACCGAAATTAAGCAACCCCGAGCTTGGTCATTACCTAAATGAGTAACTGCTTCGGAATACCAGGGACTGTAAGCTTGGATGTGCAGGTGTCGTAAATGGATAACGGTTCGCAAGTTCGAATTCCAGTTCCGCGAACAAGTTATAAAAAATATATCTTCAGCAATTACTTTTGTCCGGATTTCGTCAACCTGTAACTTTACGCTACTTTGTGCTGGCCTAGGATTGAACTTGCCTTGCATCGGCCTGACCTACGAGTGAACCCCTGCGAACTTCAGTGGAATTGTTGCAAAGATTTAACCAAAGAAAGTTTGTTCATTTAAATAACACCCGTATTTGTTATTCTGATTTTAATTCTCTATTTTCCTTCGACTCAGAAAGCGAGGCAGTTGAAATTTTTGAATATATAATGAGATAAAAAGGCTTGAAAAAATTGACACTCACAGGATATATCGAAAGCAAGAGTGGCAGATGAAAATATTGAGTACTGTATATCGCTGATTATAAGACACCCCAAAGCATTTGAATTTTATCAAGAATCTCTAAATATATGGCAGGAGCACCAGACCATATGTTGCAGCAATATTTAAAGCATTGTCGAATGGTAAACTTATAAACTGATGAGTTATGCACCCTAAGCAGAACATTCTACCTCTGTGGATTGAATAAAGGGTTTGGGTAAAAATTTTGAGGTATCGTATTTATGTACAATGATTATATTTTATTTATATTGATAATACTCTCCTGAGTAAATGAACAGCGAATTTTTTTAATATTGTAAACACGGGCTGCCATGGATTTTGTTAATGTTCTTGTTTGCACATTTTATCATATCGAAAACTTCAAATATTATCGGTATAACAGCAGTTTTAATATGCCACATTTTTTCAATTTTAGTTTTAAAATCCTTATATTTACATTGCCATATTCTTTAATAGATTTATTATTATTATTGTTATTATTATTATTATTATTATTATTATTATTGTTGTTGTTGTTGTTGTGTCGCACATTGATGTAAGCAATGAAAATTCTGTTTTTGACCCATGGTATCAAGAAGACTTCTCACAACTCAAGAATTTTTCGGAGAAGCCTCGCAGAGTAAATGATGACAGTTTTCCAGAGAGCTACATTATTGGTCACCATTCTAATTTTACTTAAGCGCTTTTTCAGTTATCTGGGTGGTTTCCCAGGGCCCCCATTACTACCAACTTTAGTTCTACGTTCATGTTCCATAGCTTTTCAGCTCCTAAGCCAAATCCTGGCATTTTTCTATTCTTTCAGTTTCTTTGTAGTCCATTTTTGTGTCATATGGAACAGTGCATCAGCCCCTAGAGGACGTATTTAATTGGCTAATTTTAGGAAACTAACAGGCAAATCCGAATGTACTGAACGAGATATTTACTATAGGTTATGTTAATTCACCAACGTGGGACGTGTACGGTATATACTCGTGTATAAGTCGATTTCATGTATACTGCGATCCCTGAACTTTGGGGCATGCATTTTAACACCCCCCCCCCGAAAAATATTCATATGAATTAGTTTATATCTCCCGAAAAAAATGTCTTTATTGTTATCCTATTATAATTGTGCTTGTCCCTCTCTTCGTTAGACCCTACCAATACTTCATTAATAATGAACTACTCCGTTTTGATTGCGTGGAAAGAGGGGAAATGACAATACTAGAAAGAAAGAAAGAAAGAAAGAAAGAAAGAAAGAAAGAAAGAAAGAATTCATTCATTCATTCATTCATTCATTCTGCTAATACCTCATAAATAATGGACTATTCTGTTTTGATTGCGCGGAAAGACGGGAAAAGACACTGCTTGTTATTATTATTGAGAAATGAATAAACAACGATGAACATTACATTTCGAAATCTTAAAAGCATTATTTATTCACACATAAAACTCGACGCAGCCATATTCTTCACAGGTTTTAGCCCCAGCGCCATACCTTACGAGACGAGCGTCATTAGTATGGAGCCCCACAAAACAAAACCCAGTATGGTGATTGTTGACTTTATCGGTGTAAGAGAAGACGTTCTTAAGATAAAAAGTTTTACCGCATGATCGACAAAAGAAATTGGATCCATTCTCGTCCTGGTGTATTTTTCGTACAAACGAAGTCATGTGGCGCAACAGGCAATGATCTTTGTCCATAGGGTTGTACTCCTTATGGCACCGAGCACAGTGGAAGTTATTGAACGAGGGAAAATGGTTACGGGGGAAGATGATGCCCAGGGCGATTATATCTTTCGAATTACGATACTCAAGTGTCCGTAAGAGGATATGCTGTAGAATGTCTGGATCGGTCCTATTGATGAAATCTCGTATTCTCAGATACTCGTTGCTAATATAGGAACTCTTCACTGCTGCGCTCAAGACAGAATTCTCGACTTTGCGTGTCGGTGACAACGGATTTAAGGTAGGCGTGAATTTGGGAGAGTCAAGAGAGGACTGCGATGTCGTCATTTGTCGTTGTAAGGTTGCGTACTTCTTTCTGTGAGCGTTATTCTTTGATGGGGTCTGCGTTTTATCACGGGGGAACATGCTTAGCAGATCGTCAGCGCTGACAAATCTCCTGAGATTCATGGTACTTTCCGAAGCAACTGAAAAAAAAATTAAAAAAATTAAATAATCATGTATGATTATTTACCCGCTACCCCACGCAGCAAGATGTGGCACAAGGCCGAGTTTAAAGTGGGGTATCCGAGCCCGTAGACTCGGGCAAAAATTTCCTATAGACCACGTAAAAACGGAGTCAGTTTCCCAAGACGAGACTCTGCCCTTAGGCAGAGCCTCCTCTGGGGGATACCCTCTGACATAAGCCAGGTAGGGACATTGGTTATTTTGTATCTTAGCGATGGAAAATATTTATTCTACGCGTGAAATATTTAATTTCCAACATTATCACCTTTTTTGTCAATGCATTTAATTCAGTAGTATACATTGATCATTAATTTCACGCCAAACAAGTTAATAAAGCCAGTTAGACACAAATATGAAAGAAGAATGAAAAGAAACATTACTAAGGAATGAGAACAATAGAAGAGTAATCAGGAAGACAGTAGATAACGATCAAGATCAAAGTTGGCTAGAAAGCATGGAGCTAGAAGAAAGTTTCACAAGCAAGAAGTATAGTACGATCCCTGAACTTTGGGGCATTAATTTTAACCCCTCCAGAAAAAATTACCTGTGTATAGTGCAACCGGTCATCGAAAATGCATGATTTTTAATCTTTTCAAAAAATATTACCTGTAGATAGTGTGACCCCCGATTTATTTGCGTAAAAATCTGGTCATGAAATCTCGCACTATACTCTAGTATACACGCTACATGCTTACACCGCCAACGAATTAAGACCTGAAGCCATGAGAGCCATTCCTAGTGTAGCATCAGGTTAGTATTTGTACTTTTTTATCATATCAAAGGCTCCAAATATTATTATTATTATTATTATTACTATTATTATTATTATTATTATTATTATAGGTATAAGAGCAGTTTTAAGATGCTACATTTTTCAATTTCATTTTCAAAATCATTATATTTGCCATATTCTTTAACAGGTTAATTATCATTATTATTATTATTATTATTATTGTATCGCCCGTTGACACACACACACACACACACACACACACACACACATATATATATATATATATATATATATATTATGCCTTTAAATTCCTTGAAGAAACAGGGCCGCAAGATATCATTGCGGTTTCTGTAACAAGCTAGTTTTCAGCGTGATATGGCCGTAATATGATGCAGGGCCGTGATGGTTCACGTAATAGACTCATGAATGCCCGAGCTCGCTCGACCGAATAAAAATAAATGAATAAAATGAGAGAGTCCGCTACGTACTTTTACACCTAATATTCCCGCCTTGAAATAACGTGTGGCGAGTGGAAAAAATCTAGAATATTCTGTAGGATTATTATTATTATTATTATTATTATTATTATTATAAATAAATAAATAAAATAAAATGTATAATAATGATAATAATAATGAAAATTTAAAATGAAATAAAACAATAACGTTGTATGAAATAAATAAAAATTAAAAATAATAAAAATACTCCCAGCATGCAACAAAAACTGTTCCTGCCGGAAATGCGGACATCCTGCCAAAAGACGTTAAATTCAGTCTCTTCACCACGAACCTTGGTACGGGCAACATGTGTCAATAACCTCTCTCTGTAATATGGCTACGTAGTAAAATTTTGTCACATGTAGCATAAAAACAATTGTAACCTAAAAAAAATCCACACAGCAATACACACAGAAAATATAAATAAATTGTATGAAATTAACATACAATTTACCATGATTTTCCTGTTAATTTTGTACGTTTTATTTTCTGTCAATCATGCTTTTATCTCTGGGAACATGAAGCTAATTTCTGCTACTATTTTGTAAGTGAACCCCAATATCCTTTTGCTCATTTCCCCACAGTTCTCATCTCTTTTCTCACTTCTTTGCTTTTTCCCGCCTTGACTTTTGGCTTTCATCCATTCTACTGCTATTTTCTCCTTCTTCTAATTTTACGCGCATTTCCTACATACTCCCACCCACTTTACAGTATTTTCTTTTTCTTGCCTTCCTACCAAAATCGCCTACTGTCATTGTCCGTCATCTAACTTCGTTGTCTATTATCTCTCATATTTTCATGTTTCTCGTCATTCTTTCTTTCGGCCATATCCCGTTGAAATATCGCTTATCGTACGATCAGCGAATTTAAACAACGTCGAGCCAGGTCAGTACCGAAATGGGCGACCGCTTGGAAATACCAGATGCGGTAAGCTTGGATGTGCGATTGCTATGGCATACAGCGACGTCACGTTGAAACACTGGTTCTCGTACGATCACAGAAGTTAAGCAACATTGAGCCAGGTCAGTACCGAAATGGGTGACCGCTTGGAAATACCAGATGCGGTAAGCTTGGATGTGCGGATGCTATGACATACAGCGACGTCACGTTGAAATACTGGTTCTCGTACGATCACCGAAGTTAAGCAACGTCGAGCCAGGTCAGTACCTAGATGGGTGACCGCTTGGGAATACCAGATGCTGTAAGCTTGGATGTGCGGATGCTATGACATACAGCGACGTCACGTTGAAACACTGGTTCTCGTACGATCACCGAAGTTAAGCAACATTGAGCCAGGTCAGTACCGAAATGGGTGACCGCTTGGAAATACCAGATGCGGTAAGCTTGGATGTGCGATTGCTATGGCATACAGCGACGTCACGTTGAAACACTGGTTCTCGTACGATCACCGAAGTTAAGCAACGTCGAGCCAGGTCATTACCGAAATGGGTGACCGCTTGGAAATACCAGATGCGGTAAGCTTGGATGTGCGATTGCTATGGCATACAGCGACGTCACGTTGAAACACTGGTTCTCGTATGATCATCGAAGTTAAGCAACATCGAGTCAGGTCAGTACCGAAATGGGTGACCGCTTGGAAATACCAGATGCTGTAAGCTTGGATGTGCGATTGCTATGGCATACAGCGATGTCGCGTTGAAACACTGGTTCTCGTACGATCACAGAAGTTAAGCAACGACGAGCCAGGTCAGGACCGCTTGAGAATACCAGATGCTGTAAGCTTGGATGTGCGAGTGGCTTAACGGAAAACGACTCGGAATTGAAGATCGGAGAGGCGAGCTCCAACAGTTGGGTTCGTTATATTCACTTACGCGCAAATAACCTTGGAAAAGATATTAATCCACCTCTTCTCCCCCAGTTATTGGTTAATTATTAGGTATAATAATTATTATTTTCAAAAAAAAGATCTTATAATTCTTTATAACATTTGTTGGTTTTAAATAACTGGCAATGGGTTGATGAACCATAAAAAAAGCAAATCAATATTCTTTCATTTTTCTCTCATTTCTATATATTTCTTTCTTTTTTGCTTTTCCCTTCTAATATTACTCTCCATCATCTCTTACCCTCTTTGTCTTTCATATTTCGTGTATGACTTTATTCTTTCACCCCTTTTCTTATATTTTCTCTCCTTTTACTCTTCTTCCTTTCTTTCTCCTACCCTCACTCTCTATTAACTCCTACCCCTTCTTTGTCTCTTATTTCTCTTTCGTATTTTCACATTCTCATTATTCTTTCTTCCTCTCCTTTCTCGCATTTTCTCTTTTTTCCCTTGTTTGCTATTCTTACGCATTCTTCCATATACTTTTTCTTCACATTCTTCCCTCTCTATTTTTTCATCTCCTACCCTTTATCATTCTAAACCTCCTCTCATGTCTTCTCCGTTTTTACATTCTACTTCTCCTACCATCACTCTTACCTTATTCCCCCCTACACACTACCAGCATATACATGCATTGCTTCCACATAGTACGCTTCCCTTCTCTCTCGAATTTTCTACTTTCTTTTCGTGTGTAGGATTAATATTTTTTAGCGGAAGCTGTCAGGCGATTTCAGATTAACTGTAAGATGATCAGAATAGCGGTGGATAATTGAGAATGGCTTTAGAAATGCCGACGCTGAGAAAGACTGTCACTTCAGCCTTTGTCATTGTATTCAGCTTGAATAACCCGAGACGTGCGTTCTAAAATAGGTTTTATGATATGCCACAATTTGATTTACTATGCCTTCCATATAAAGATTTATCTGTGGCATGTATCGATTAGACAAATTCCACTATTTTGCGAAAAATCATCCTATAAAGCTATTAAAATGCGTTGTCCCCATTTTAAAACGAATAATTGCGACCATAATCTCAATATTTGTCGGGTGAACATTTTTCATACTTCACTTAAAATGGCGACCGGTTACAGTTTTCGCCTATTGACGATTTTCTCAGTACGTACACAATCTGTGGTCTGTTTCGTGGTTGAAATATTTTTTACTGGTCCAGAGGTCGGCGTTCGAACCCGGGTCGAATTCAAAATTATGAGGAGCGTTCCAAAAGTTTCGAACCTGGATTTGATCACTTTTACAAGGATTTCGAATTATTATATGTAAACTATCGGCTGTATATGACCTCTTTCTCAGAGTGATGGTTAAAAATGGCTTCGAGCGAGTGAAGCGTGGCGGTCAAAGCAAACCTTCCTCAAACTTCGTGGACTGGCGTCAATCACAAAAACCTGTGCCAGGTAACAGAACCCATATAAGTCTGGTTTGGTTTGTCTTATGGGTTGTTTAATACTGAGTTTGTTTTTTTTTTCTTGGAAGCTTTGGTAATTTTTTTTCCAAAATGTATTGCTGCTAATTTTACTACAAAATGTATTTTTATACTTTCATAATGTTTGGCCCCATTTGTGGGGTTCACTTATGCACATAGCTGTGAACCTAACAAGTACTACCACCCCGGGTCAGGGTGGACCTGGGGACAACAGCAATTAAGAGGTTATAAGGGAGAATGCTGACATAATCAAGATGCCGACGTTCCACATTGTCCCCACCTCAAAAAAAAAAAAAAAAAAAAAAAAAAAAAAAAAAAAAAAGGAAGTAAGCCTCATCAGTATTGAAAAGAGTATTAACAGCAACTGAACTTGAGAAAAATTATTGTTTTAGTGCTACCACCCCGGGTCAGGGTGGACCTGCGAACAACAGCAATTAAGAGGTGGTTCCACGCTCCTCAAAACCTCCCCCTTGCTGCCAGATGTAGTTTATCGTCAAACCCAGAACGAAACAGGAAGATGAAGGAAATACTAGTCAAAATTATTATTATTATTATTATTATCGAGTGGCAGAGCAACACGCCATGAAAGTACCGCTGGTGTAGAAATATACGAAACGCAATATACCTATCATGACACCCAGTCTAATAAGCCTATAGCAGGTTCGTACCTCACAGTCATACACAGGACGTACATATAAGTTGAGGACTGCCAAAATGGGTAGCACATGTAACTTGAAGGGAGAATGGTGACATAATAATACCGACATACCACATTGTCCCCCCCCACCAAAAAAAAAAGCAAGAAAGGAAACCACATCAGTACTGAAAAGAGCATTAACAGCAACTGAAATTGAGAAAAATTATTATTTTAATGTTTTAAAAGAGATATGTTGTAGCTTTCAACCCACAACAGAAATCACGGCTCTCCACAGCTTCCTTTTCTTTGAATCCTGTAAACTGCCATACTTTTCGAGAAAGATAGTGGAGTGAATTTTTCATAACTTTCTCCATGGTTTGGAATTCAGGGTTTTCCTTTTCCTAGAACTGCTACTGAAGGCTAGACAATCCAATCTACCCTACTATTTAACTGGCGTTGGTTGTTGGATGTTTTTTGCTTATCGACATATCAACCTCTATGGGTTATTTAATACCGAAATCTAAATATTTTGTACGTAATTTTACTTTTTCAGGGGTCATAACAATGGTTTCAGTGATACAAGCCTTACCAATTAACCCATAGCTCGGGGAGAAAAGGTGGATTGATAACTTTCCAAGATTATCTGTGCGTAAGTGAATATAACATAACCAACTGAAATTGGAACTCGGTTAACAATTCCGAGTTATTATCCACTAAACCACCCACACATCCAAACTTACAGCACTTGGTATTCCCAAGCAGTCACCCATCTACGTAATGACCAGGCTCCACGTTGCTTAACTTCGATAATCGGACGAGAACCGGTAGCATGTTCAAGCCCCTAACTGGCGGATGGAGAGATGAATTCTTGCTCATTTTTAGAATATAAGATTCTTTTATATATATAATGGTTTAATGATTAAAGTGTTACTAATTAACCCATAGCTGGGGGAGAATATGTGGATTCATAGCTTTTCCAAGTATATTTGTGCGTAAGTGAATATAATGAACCCAAAAGGAATTGGAACTTAGCTCTCCCATTAACCATTAAGAGTCATTACCAATTACATCACTCGTACATCCTAGCTTACAGCACTTGGCATTCCCAAGCGGTCACCTATCTACGAACTGACCAGGCCCCACGTTGCTTAACTTTGATAATCGGACGAGAACAGGTAGAATGTTTAAGCCCCTATTTAACTGGCGGGTGGAGAGATGAATTCTTGCCTTTTTTTTTTAGAATGTAAGATTCTTTTATATATATTAATGGTTTAATGATTCAAGTCTTACTTGCCAAGAAAGGTGAAATGTTGTAAGAAACTGAACGTGAATTCACTGTGGATGATCTAGTGATTAAAACATTTCCTATAATCAACGAAGTAAACATTCTAATTAACGCTTTAATCGAAATAAGTGCTGCATAATTTGCCGCGAAAAAAAGCATTGGAGCAAAAAGGTCTCTAAAAAAATAAAAAAAATACTTGTAATACTTTCCAATAATCTATTTCGGCAGACAGAGGCAAGTTACATGTGCTAAGTTTAGTTTTGTCTGGCGGAAGATCACAATCGTGAGATATCCAGCGGTGTGATGGAACTCATT